CCAAAAGAGGACGAGAGTGTCAGACTTTTCGGTCTGCTTTCATGTACCTCAGAGATTGTGTGTGCGAATTTTTTTGGCAAGGTATGTGGCATGTGCCGCCTTGCCTAAGTACGAGAGAGCAAATGGGCCCTGTCGAGTGGACGGGTGTTTGTGGTGACTGGAGATGCGCTATTGATAACAGAGTGTCTTGTCGTGTTCTTTCTTCGGTGAGTCCTTGTGGTGGTGGTAGAAGAGGGTGCGGTAGTTCCGTAAAGTATGCTTAAGTGTACCTTAGTGTTTGGCCACTGTCTGTGGTCAAGTCTCTATTTTGTCAAGGGCGTCAATGTAAAGTTCTTTGTTGGGCATGTTGAGTCTTGCGCGGTCAGGTAGACTAACGTCTTCTTTTGTCTCGAGTGGGCTTGGGTTTTACGTGAAAGGCTGTTTTTTACGGGTGGTCGATCGGTGACGGTTTGAGACTGGCCCTCTGTTAGGACAGCCCAACGTTGCGTTGGGTTCAGCTCCTCAGTATGTGTCCATTGTGTATGGGTGCCAATTTTGGTCGTTGCAGTTTGTGAAGTCGAAGGTGGTGGTTGGTTTGCGTCTCATTTGTTTTTCAGTTGCGGTAGTCTGTCCTTAGGTCATCAGGGTGCTAAGAATGGAGAAATTCGTATTTTCTGTGGTCGCTAGCGAGGTAGGAGTTACTGGCCGGGGGATTGCAGACATACTGTGTCCCGGTAGGCTGTTGGGAAGGATGGTCTTTGGGCAAGGATTTGGTGGTCTGCGTGAAGATGAAGAAGGATGTTTGGCAATTGTTGGGGGAGTGACGGAAAGCGTCTTGCACGTCAAGATTGCTTCACCCGAGTCGGTGAACTTGTAGTATCAAGCGATGGTCGTTTTGGTGGTGCAGACGCTGGGCTGCTGTGTTCCTCTCTTCTGTTTTGTGTTTAGATACTGCTCACGCGGCGGTGCGCTTTGCAACGTTCTTCCAGAGAAAGTCAGGTTCGTGCGTCGTGTTCCGGGGTGGTAGTGGGAGTAGTGGCATGTACTCCATTCGATTCCATCACTGAAGAGAGCAGCGGCCCGCCGGCGCGCTGCGGATGAGAATAGAGCGTAGGCCTTGGGTGTGGTGGCTCACGGGCAACGAAAATTTTGCTCCCTCCCTACGCTACATATCTCTTTGCCTCTATTCTCGCTCAGCAGCCTGAGGTCGGAAGTGTAGTTGCGCACTTTAATTATGTCGCGGGTACGAAGGTACCGCGGCAATCCATGTGCGCGATACACGGGCGTTGGAGGAAGTTTGACTTGGAAACGGAGCTTCCGCTCTTCAATTAGCAAGGAAATCGCACGTTATCTCATGTCTCGCCCGTCGGTCTGTCCGTGTGGCAAATCCAATTAATAGTAACATGCATTGTGATGAAACTAACGAGAAATGCAGCAGACTGCCGGGCACGAGACCAAAGTTTAAAATGACACTTCATTTGGGTTATTTCGTTGATAAATTACTTGCAGAATGAATAAGAGGACTTGAAACGTATAAATACTATATATGACAAATTAAGCTGTCATTAAGATAGAAAAATTATCTTTGATGGATTTGAAACAGCAGCGATATCTGTTATGTTCACAATTTCCCCAATCTTGAAGACATCGCTTGTTTCTGAAAACTTATACATTTAAGTTTATTTAAAAATCCTTTAAGATGTTAACCCCATCGAATCCTGCAGAGCTATATTAAAGTGGTACGGAAAGAAGAATAGAATGTATTTATCCCTAACGTTTGAATTGCACTTCAATCTTTTATGTATTCCGGGCCAATTGCCCCCAGTCCAGTAACGTTCATGTCTTCGGGGTCATTCTCTTGTTTAAAAAGGATTAAAAATTATTTGCATTCTACAATGACAGAGTATCGACTGAACTCTTTAGCGTTATTGTGTATCGAAGAAAATTATCTCAGCGTTTTTGATTATACTATAATTATTGAAGAATTTGCTCACCAAAAGGCACGTCGCAAAATTTTATATCAATAGACAAATTAGCTATATTTAATAAAACGTTATTTCAGCTATATAAAAAAAACCATCAAAAAAGTTAAATATATTCCTTGTTTATAACGGTAAATCGAAAATTATAAAAGCTGTTACAACGTCGTAATATTCTAATCGTTCAGTGGTTGTAAATAAAAATCTATCATATTAATATTTAATACAAGCTATTTATTTGTCTACTTTATTAGAGTATACCTTATGATTTCAGAAGTATATGAATCTGGAAGTAAGGCCCGTTGACGAAAGAAAACATGTTGCAATTCTAGTTGTCATGTTTTAGTTTCCTTTTAATGTTAACATTTTAGTGTTGAAACGGTAATAATGTTGAATGTTACTTGCTATGAACATACAGTTTATATCCAAAATTATCTAATCCAAAAAGAATATTTAATTTATGAAAACAATGTGCAAACTGTAATGCTACTTTTAAAGTTAAAACGTTCAAATTAATGGGGAATTGTTACTGAAACGTTACAATTTGAATTGTAACATTAATTTTAGATAGAGGGCGGCAAATTTGATGTGCCTACAGGCGGCAAAAATATTAATCCGCTCCTGTTTCTAATACATTATTGTGTGTTCATTTTGAGAATGTAGTAGGCAGCAATCCCATATGTGACATGATATAATGTTATAAAAAAAAATTCAAATGCTAAGAAAATTGCCTTACAGAAAAAAATTATAGGAATGATAAGGAAATGCCATCCATATTGATTCCTGCCAGCTTTTCTTTCTTGTTTTCAGAATAATACTATTGCTCACCCACCCACTCACCCACCCACAAGTAAATATAAATAGCATTTGTATAATGTGAATGCTTTGAAATAAATAAGAATTCTTGAAAACAAATATATTTATTTACTAATCAGTTGTTACTGCACATATGAAACAATTACATACCCAAATTAAAATACAATGAAATGATACAAATATCATCAGTCAAATGTATTATTCACAACATTCTCCTCAATGCATATTTTGTTTTACTGTATTAAATGAATGTTTCAACAGTTAAAAGTAATATCATTATGGCAAAAACAAATAAATATAACTATTTTCCTAAGAGAAGCTGATCAATTATTAATTTTTTCACATGTGTGTATGTTATTTATTTATATTTTTAAAGTGGAATATTTGTTATTTAGTTTCAATAATATTCCTAAGTGCTGAAGAAATAAGAATAATTTGAAAATGTTATGATTATTGTGATAACAATGAAGTATCTTCCATAAAAAATATATGTATAACTAAGCTTCAATTTGTTCCTTTACTCACATGTTTTTATAAAAATTCATACAAACTTCACACACTTGCATGATCAGAATCATTCAAGAATGAATGAAGGATATATATATAGAAAATAGAACTAACATAAATTAATTAAGTTGTAAAAATTGAATCTTCATATATTACTCAAATACAAAACTTTGAGAACAATATCATTGAAGGCAATATTCTTAATAAATAACCACATAATTCTACTGAATAAAATGCAGGTACAGATTCTTTAGTATATTTCATATCCATATCATATAAGATCTGTATGGACATTTAATAAAGCATCAAAAGGGAATTTGACATTCACTATGTCTGAAAATGTGCAAATACTGAAAAAATATGGTAACAAAGTTAAATGCAAACAAAATATTTTTCTTGTTTGGTGTAGTCTTGAATTTGTACAGAAGATTTTTATGTACTAACTAGAGCAAGTGGATTGAAACAATGGAAACAGACTTTTTGCACAGGAAATAATATTAACTTCTTCATGTTTTCAATAAAATTCTTTAAATTTGAATACAAATCAATTAAGAATAAGCAGGTCAAAGCTAAAAAAAAGTTTTGTAAAGCTTTAGTGAATAAGTTATAAAATTGTTGGAATGCAGCCCAATGACTTGACACACATATCTTCCCCTGATTATAGGTGGATTCTAGCGTATTTCAACTCATGACACACAACTGACTGTTAGCACACACCAAGTCACATGCATTTGCTTCAACGGTTACAAATACAGTATAGCTCTAGTCAAAGAGAACACAGAAGCATCAGTTAATTGTTCAACTAATGCTCAAAAATCAATTTAATATTAAATTACATCATATAAGGTTTTAATTTTCTAATGAGTGACAAATCTTTTAATGTTTTTTCGAGACATAATCATTAGTCACATGTCAAGATTATTAGTTATTAGTAAAATCATTGAAAACATTTTTTAATTTCATAAGCATTATATCTTTACTCCACAATCAATACTATTATAATGTATTTCAGACTAAATATCACATTATTATTTTCACATGGAAACTTTAGATTAATTTTAAATTTCATTTTTTCTCTTAGTTTCATTTTTGTTACTATTTTAACTGTTTTATTTCCCTATCAAAAATGAATATACTTTTAGTTGTTTTAGTCTCAAAAAAGGAAGAAATAAAAAAATGAAAGAAGTAACAATTACCATTTTTGAATGAAATTACAATGTTTGTTATTTCTTCTGACTAACTGTCATCATTAATTTTCTTATAAATTGACGAATGATGAAAGATATCTCATTCGTCATGGTTCAATAATCATTGACTGTCATGATGATATAAATGAATAATAGTACACATTTCGATAAACAACTCAAATGAGTATATATTTTCAAATATACAATAAAAAAATGTTCTAAAAATATAATTTTGCCACATCTTAAATTTCAATGTCCTTAGGCTTGTCCTTAGATTTGTTTGAAACATTCATTAAGTTTTGTGCTATTTATAGAGCTTTGCCTCTTGATTTTTGAACTAAAGGAACATTAATTCAAATTTCATCATTTAGTTGCAATTGCTCAAACATCGTCCTTCTTCATCTTATGCAGTGGATTCTTCAATTCCCATGTGTTTCCATTTTGAAAAATGTACATATAAATGTTCTGCTCCCCATGAAAATACACAAAAGAGTGACAATCCAGATGTTGCATAAAGAGCATTCACATATGAATCGCTTGTATCTCGCACATATCCTGCAGAAAATCAAGCAATATTTTATTTAACAAACAAGTTGACAAGTTTGAATAATTTGTAAAAAAAAAAGCAAATGATATATAATATTTATGTCTCTTATCTTATTACAAATGAGTTAACACAAGGTATTAAATACAAATATCAGTCATCCAATTTAAGAAACTATCAACAATTTCACAAGGGTTCTGACTGGTTTATTTTACCATAAAAAAGTATGGAATGTTTTCAATAGAAAATGAATGAATCAAAATTAAAATCATATTAATATGAACATATTTAATATGAATAACATAAATTATTTTTGATTCAAACAAATTTCACTTAACATGATTTTACTGCTAATAAATTTAACAATTTATAAAAATTGTTAACTATTACAAATAAACTTATTACTAAATTATAATTCTTGATTCAATGAATTTACCAATTAGAGGTCCACAGATCATGGATAAAATTCCATTTAGGATCATGTAGAGGCCACTAGCTGCAGGCAATTTGTCAAGTGGCACATAGTTAGGAAGAACTAATGCTTGAAACACAGCTTTTAAGCCTTTGAATATTCCAACAATAATTGCCTGGATTAATATTATTTTACAGTCATGATGAAAATGAGCTAGAACTGAAAACCATAAAATATTAGTAAATAGTTTTCTTTTCCAGAGGATTTTGCGGATGAAATATTAAATTTGAAATATTGATTTTTACTTTCTCGACTTCCTTTGAATATTTGCAATAAAGAGAAAGTATTGTAACTCTGTGAAAATGCTTTTTCACAAAAAAACACGAATTGTGGGGCCCTAGTTAGGAGAATGAATAAATTTGGTTCCTATATGTAATAGATTACTTTCTCTAACTCACTGCTTAGTCAGAATTGAGGTTTTATATGTTCTTAATACCAAAACTTGGTTGACACCAGTCTGCCTGTTACCGCCTAAACACTACTGCCTAAACCATCCAGACTATTTTTTTAAATATAGATACACCACCCTCAATCTAAACAAATTTCCTCGCTATTTATATGTAATCCAGAAAGTGTGTACTCCAGTACTTATACTCTTGTTTCATCACTAGTTTCCTTAATGAAATCTGTTCTTCAAAGATAGATATTTAAATGATATCATATACAATTTTTTGAAAAGCATGAGAAGTTTTCGCACAAATTTGCACGAATTTTAGTCAATTTAAAAAAATATATATATTTTTCTCAAAAACTGCTGCAATTTTTTTCATTATTTTTTCCTCAAATAAATCAAAGAACGCTTTTAAAATTGGTGCAGGTCATATTTTCTGTAAATTCTGTGTATTTTCGATCGATTGATTATTTTCAGGCGCGTCAACGGCTATGGTAGTTTGTCCCGTAAGTACCGTGCACGCTTAGCACCAGAGGATGTTGTTCTTGCCCCGCTGGTTGGTGAGATCCAGCGTCGATATACAGTCAGCTTGTGAGGTTTTCTCCTACCAGGAATCTCCCACCAGCGGGGAACATCCCCAGCTGGGACAAACAGACCCCGTCTGCTCTCCCGACATGTGTGGTAGAGTACTGTGTGCAAGTGAGGGATGACGATAGGACAAGGAAGAGGAAGAAAAGATCTCGCGCGGTCAGAGGCCCGTTTGAAAGGCACTACTCCTGCATGGGTCTAATTTTGATCGTAGAAACCTTGTAAAACTATCGATCAGAGCAACAGCTCGCTAGAATTCTCATGAAGGTAGCTGCTGAATTCGACCTGTCTATGTTTATAGTGTCGATAATCCTGCCACTGTCGGAACTCGAACCCTAGGATCTCCAGGTCAGAGGCACTGCTGTGAAATCAACTGATGCTCTGCGCCACCTCAGTTGGCGGGTAAAGAAATAACATTGCAAAACTATAATTTTGTTGATAGAGTTTTTTTGTTAATGAAATCTGTTGTAAAATATTAGATCTTTAAATAATTTAATTGGACACGTTTTTAGAAAGAACAAGTAATTTTCGCGTAAGCTTTATTTGAATTAGAGGCAATTTTTATATGAAAATGTTTAAATGAAAATGTTTATATCGACGTGTTTATATCAAAGCGTTTGTTAATATCAACACGTTTTTTTATATCAACACTTTGTTTATATCAACACTTTTGTTTATATCAAAACATTTGTTCGTATCAAAATGTTTGTTCATATCAAAATGTTTGTTCGTATCAAAATGTTTGTTCGTATCAAAATGTTTGTTTATATCAAAATATTTGTTCGTATCAAAATGTTTGTTCATATCAAAATGTTTGTTCATATCAAAATGTTTGTTCATATCAAAATGTTTGTTTATATAAAAATGTTTATAGCAAAACCGGCAACAGTTATTTTTTTTAATTTTTTTCTCGAATAGAGCAAAGGACGATTAAAAAATTACGCAGGCTTAATTTTCCTTGAACTCTCTGAAAATCTCAAAAACTTTTTTTAAAAAACGATAAAATGTGTGCTGTTGTAGCACTGCTAGTTTAATAAAAAAAGTGCGATCGAAACTGTGGTAGTACTGCGTTGATACATTACAAGTACGTTATTTACATCATGTTAATGCTATTGCCGACCTATGGTATTGAGCCGGGCTTAGAAAACTGAAGATCGCGTTTCCGAAATGTCATTGTTACAGTTTTGATGGTGTTTGCACTTTATTCTATGCTGACTTTTTCTCATATAAAGAGATAAATCAAAATCTTTGCTGTGGAAAAACGTAAATTATATTTAAAATAATTTATTTTAGCTCTGATTTTATTATTTGCTAGAATACTGTAATATTCTAGAAAATGACCGAATATATGTGTGTGTTAGTCATGGAGGTTTAAGAATAAATATTTAATCTTTCAAGTGTTATATTTTTAAATACCTCATTCTCCTACCTGTTCTTCCCACCATGGAGCCAAGTAGTGATGCCAAATAAGCGAATCGAGCATTCCAGTGAAACCAATTGGCTAATAGTGGAGAGACTATTCGAGCAGTTATATCAGCACCAGCTTGGACAGACATAACTGTAGCAAGAGTTGGCTTGTCGAGATCAGCCATATCTACCAAAATGAATGGTAACAGCATGTGGAAGTTAAATTCTGATGCAATAGAAATGCCCATTCCCATTGCAATATTTACATATATTGGATCTTTTAAAAGATCAAGATCCAAAGCTTTCACCACACGCGTGCAGGTCTTTTTGGCGATTGGAATATGTCCTTTGCCTAAATGAGGTATTCTTTGGTTTAATATAATATATAAACACAAAAAAATCTCGATTTAAAATGCACCAAGACCAGATTTATTACCTTTTAACTCATCAACAAGAGTTTGATGTTCTGATATCTGCATTAAAGGTTTTAACGGAGTAGGTGATTTAATTACTGAATCATTTGTTTCTTGTTTCTTTTGTGAACAATCACTTCGATTTTTCATTTCCAGCAGCTTCTAATAAAAGAAACAAATAGAAAATCAATTGTATGCACAGATATACATAAAATATACTTCATATCTATTCTGGACATTATTGAAGCTCCGAGGAAAGAAAAGATACATTTTTTAAAAATAATCGTTTTAAATCGTATTATTTAGAAATAATCGTTCATATTTCACAATGCAAGGTAGTGACAAAACTAAGAATTGATGTTTTTGTACATCTTTGGACAGTATGTAATACACAAATGTTTTAATTTAATCAGAAACAAGCAATTGCAGATATTATAAATACTTTATTATGTCAGTAATTTCCTATTGAAATCAGATGGCTTCGAGACGGCCAATGATTAGCGTGCTTACTGTCTCTGCATAAGGGATACGCTTCGCTTCCCGGCAGAGACGAAAGAAATTCGTCGCTTCCGCTTTCTACCAGCATGTAGTATGTTCTGTAATTGGGAAGAAAATAAATGGCTGACGACACGACTCCACAATGATATTCGCGTTGTGAAAGGCAGTGGCTGCTCTGGGATTAGGCAACAGGGAGGGCACACAAAGTTACAGGATCAAACAATATTACGCATTTGAAAAAAGCTATATTTGGATTGTTTAAGTCACATAAGTAATATTTACAATCGAATTATCTCCCCGGAAGACAGGCTAAACACATGATCTATAAATCAAATTGAGTCTTCTGTTACATTCTGTAAATCTCTTACTAATTCTTCAAAATTAAATGAGTCTTGTAACAAAACTCTTTATTATGAAAACATACAAAGTCCAATCAATCTCTCTTCCGACATGGTATTTCTTAAAATTCTATAATCTTTTCAAAGTGAAAAAGCTCTCTCGGATTCTTTTATATAACACATCCAGCTCAGATTTCAGTTTGCTAGCTCACAAACGGAGAGTACTGTGATTCGCGATCAACCTTTTGTAGGGGGAAATTTTCTTGATATTGTTGGAACGTTTTACAATCAAAGAGAACACAAGGCTAAATTCACCCTAAAATTAATATGGCCATTTACCCTTTTGAAATTCCCGCACAAAAGAACGAATGCCATTTCTATCAGATTGTATTTTTTTTATATCAGGCTGAGGTGGCCCAATTCTCTTCATGCACAGCCTTGTATCATAACCACATTGACAGTTTTCAGGCATGTTACAGAATTGGAAACCATTCTCAATCTCAATGCACAATACGAACTAGACGCAAAGATCGGAATTCAGCATTCATATAGTTTTGTCTACGGATCGGAAAGATGATGCCGACCATGCTGATTGCACACTAATGTGCTGAATTTTTGTGAAAAGGGAGATCAGTTAAACAGAATACCAGCAGATAGCACTGGCCTGGACGAAAATCAAGCGAAAGGAATATTGTAAGTTTAAAAATCGATCAATAGATAGCGCCGGGCAACGAGGTTGCTACCTCCCCTGTCAGGCTGCTAGGCGGCGGTCGTCATAAGACGCCATTTGCCGAACCCATGTTGCCATTTCAACACTCATTGGCAGCGATTTCTATGTCTGTAAGTTCCGTAACAACACTGCGTTTAGGACACAGAGGCGAGTGTCCGCAGCGAATGAAAATCGTTCTACGGAACAAGCGGGAGTTTGAAAGCTAAAGATGCGTTCGATTCGAAAACAACCCTACAGACCCACAGAGATTATTTTAGACAGCGCAAGAGAAGAAATACTGATCTCCATAGGGGAGGGGGGGCAGTGTCCCTAGCGCCTCCCTGCTGCAGCCGCCACTGGTGAAAGGTGATATTCGAAGTGTGAAGGAGCTGTTTCATTCCACACTCCATGGCTGAATGTTGAATGCAACAGCAAACTACAGATAGATTACTCTAAGAAGAGTCCGTTTTGACAGCTACTGCTAGGCTACTTATGGCAATAACTGCAGGTTTTGCTCATATTCTGTTCGTTAATGCGTTCTTTTGCAGTTGGCCAACTTGTGAATGACTTCGACACTACTTCTGGCAACGTTATCATTCGACATGACGTTCATTTGTTTCTCACTCTGTCAAGCTGGTCCCTTTTTTAGAGTAACTTCTCTTTACTTCACTACCTGCCTAGTTCCCTCATTTGCTCTTTTCCGTAATAGCTGCATTGAGAATTCAAACCGGCCGGGAATACGGTTAAATATTTAGACGGTTAGAAACCACGGAATAAAAAGGCATTGAACGAATTCGAAAAAGTCTTATATTCTCAATCACTTTCTCTTAATATTCTTCACTGTCGTGAACAACACGTGCTGAAACGTGAGATGTTCAAGAGTTTCCTTTTCGCCTTATTTTCCTGCGCATGATGCTTTTTTACTTTCTCGCCCACCACGCTCTTGTGTAGTAAAGAGAAAATATTCTGCTCTCACAAGGAAAAACGCAATATCTACACAAAACCAGGTTTTGAGAAAAACGAGGTTAACTTTGACAAGCTGTCCTGTCTTTGAACGTAACAATAAGTATGTAACTATGTTTAGTTGAATTGAATGTTTTAATACTATATTATAAAAATTATAACAAATGTTTGTTACAAACACACCAAGTGCGAAATGCGGTTTCTCGTCCTTGTTTTCCGCGCGTATAACTGCAAATGTTTTCATAACGTGCGAAACATCATGATGCGTGTTTGTTACTTACGAATAATAGTGTCACGACACTGGTATCCATTTACTTTTGTACAAGGAAGGTAAAATAGAATTGATATTCCTTTACTTGACGCATTGCGTTTTGCTCACGACGTGTTAAAAAATAGTGTACGCAACACGGGTGCGAGGTGATTCCCGTACTCGTCTCTTTGTCGTCCTTGCTAGGCTCGGACTACAAACTCGACTCATGCGTGAATCAATTTTTTCGCCCCCCCCCCCGTGGTTGCGTAAAGTACTACTTCGTAACACTGTTCGTTAATACATCTACATAACGCAACCACATATAGGAATGAAAAGGTCTTCTTAATGGCCGTCGGCCGTTAATTTCTCAACGGTCGGCGGCCATTAAGGAGCCAAGTGATGTTCGAACTACTTATTTTCATATTTAAGTTCATTTTTTTTGTGCAATTCGGTGAAACTAGCACTCCATTACTCGTGGCTTCTATATAGCCAATGACAAGTTCGTCTCGTCTCTGAATGGGACAAGGGGACAAACGGGAGAAAATGAGACAAAGGGAGAAAATGGGACAAGGGGAAAACATTGGACACTATAGTCCTGAAGAGGGCCGTATAATTCGTCGGCATCTCAACCTGCGACGCGGCGTCACCTGGACAGCCCAGATGATGACTCTGGCCGCAGAAGCAGATGACATCATTTTTTAAAAAATTCTTTGCTTTTTCTAAAAGTATAGCACTAAAGAATGCAGAGTAACTAAGACATTAATTCACAGCAGTCACTGAATTACATGTTCAAATAAGAAGGAATAATTTTCTAAAAAAACACACTGGACAATGAAAATTTCTAGCTTCAAATTTTATTTTTGTTTTGTGAAGAGAGGAAAAGACGGTAAACGATGAGTGAAAACAGCTGAAGAAACTCAAGACGAACTTACTAGGTCAGATTCTTTATTACTCGTATCAGGTGATACGTTAGGGTAACCTAGACCAGTAGTGCATGTTTTCATCATTCTCACTGCCCAACATATTTGCGGCATTAATAAGTATGGAAGATTCTCACTTTCTTGAAAAAACGTCACTTGACTCGTCACGAGAAGAACATTTGAAAAGTAGTTTTTCCAGCAATATAACTTTTTTTACAGCAAACAGTCAATTTTTAACTGCTCAAGAATGCTTGATGTAACAACTTAAACGTGCACTTTTTCTGCAATTATGTATTTTCATATTAAGAAAATGACAATAACAATAGTATTGATCTAATTGTAAGGCTATCTGTGGTTACTAACTTCACAGAACAACGCACATGTTACACGGATTCCTCTGTTTATACAACTGAGTATATCTGAGAAAGAAGGCTGATCTGTTTCAGGCAGACCCTAGGAGTGTCAGTTGTTTATAAATGAACTTAATAGTCGCATTTTGTCAGAAGACTTCCATTTGAGACCGTATGCGTGTTTCTGCGATTTATAGCGCCATAAGGCTCACGGTTGCATTGTGATTGGATGTCATGATGCGTCGTGTCATTGACGCTCCCAAGTAGCGAGTCCGGTTGGCAGCGGGTTGCCTACGTGCGCCGGTGAATTAACTATTTTTTAAATGTTATTTGTGAGTGTCCCACTTTGGAATTTGGTAGATATATACAAAATTAGTGTCGAAATACATGAGTATTTTTTATAATTAATTTAAGTGTCGACTTAAAAAATTTCATTTAAAAAATTAATATACATTTTAAATATTTAAATAATATGTTTACAAAAATGTATTTACATCATACGAAAGTACATCTTTTTAAGTTAAATTTAATAGTCATTCGCAGATTTTACTTGTCACCATCTTGAACATACGTAATATATTACCCAAAAGGGCGACAACGTTCACCGTTAACGTATTTCTGCAATTGATAACTTTCAGATTATATTAGCTAGTCTGATAATGGACAAACATGACTCTATGAAAATTTTAAGCTTTTTGATTATTCGGTCTTGACAGGTTTCTTTTGAATACACTATACCGGATTGCGAATTTAATGTTAATGTATGAACAATTCGAAAAATTCGAGAACATGTAAGAATTCACATTGGATTTGTCTAAATTGCTTGTTGGATTTGTTCATCTTGTAGTTTGAATTACCTCTTTCGTTGCGTCTTCTGCAGTGCTGGCTCGGGGCGGCGGCTGCAGAAGCATCCCGCCTGCCAGTGAATGAAGCGCCACGCCTCCCAACAAGAGAACGGTTCCCGAGGTTCCGTAGTTGAAGAGTAAGGCGTTCACTGCGTATGGACTGAGGACGGGACCAAAACTCGTTGCAGCCACTGAGAGACCTACAGCTAAACTACGACGAACTTTGAAGTGAGAATTGATTGCTAAGGACGTCGACGGATACAGTATTCCTTGACCCATACCTGAAAAAAATGTTGAATTTTTAGTAACAAATTTACAACTTAACAAATAAGAGGTTTTTGAAAAGCAAATGCAATAACTACTAATTTTCTTTAAAAGCAATCGCCTGGCCTAGGATTTAAAATATTTATATCAATGGTATTGAAATAACCACGAGTGAACGGGGAAATTCCACTCAATATTGAAATCGTCACCTGAGGTAAATTCCAGAAGTCTCGAGTGCTTTTTATCCAGCAAACAAATGGGATTATCGAAGACTGACATAAACGAAGTTCGGTAAAGTGATACATTTTCAACAGTGAATTTCAGTGGAGCGATGAAATGTTCAAGTAACCGTGTTACGATGGGTTATTTATTTCCAGAATCTTCCTTCAAAACAAGTTTCGGTGAGTGATATTAGAGATTCGTAAGTTCGGAAACCCTAACTAACTCATCAGGGACCAATTTTTAAAAGTATTTGCGACTACAAAACAGTAGCGCCTCGTCAGGTCAAGGGAGTGAAGTGATACTTTACCAATATATTACTATATAAAAATGGAAATTATAATAAAGGAGAATTCGAATTAATAACAGCATTATGGCGGCACGGAATAAGCATGTCGTTCTTTTTGATTTTGTTATGCTAGGCAAACGTATTCGTGGTCTTTGCTGAATATCTACACCTAGCAGCGCCACATCTTGGTGTAAAAAGCGAAATTGCACGATATTTACCATTGCAAACATAGCCTGCTGCCATGATTTTGTCTGCTTGTGAAGGGCAGAGAAAAATCTCACGTGGTTGCGGACCAGAGTGCGTAGTTCAGAACTATGCAGTTGCACTCTAAATTGCTACACAATTCGTAGGGCTATGCTGACAGTAATAATTCCTGTTGCCAGATGTCTCTGGTACGTGTATGATTCCCATCAGGACGCGCAGTAATCTAAATGAAGTTTGTGATTGTGTCATGACAGTCTGTCCACCAGTCGATGCACAAAACTGATGCCTAAATCGTTCAGATATTTGCTCGAACAATGGATATCCCCAATCGATCTGGACGACCTTAAGACACCAAACGTTTACATTTGTTCGGCGTTTTCCATCATTACAGTATTGAAGATAGATATTTTGTTCTAAATCAAATTTTTGATCAAAGAGATTTGAAATATATAAAGAAAGTATTTTTCGAAAATACGAGTAGTTTTTATCGTTTCAGCGATTTTCCGCATTTCGTCCTGAAGAAGGTCGCAACATGACGGCCGATACGTTGGCGTTTGTGCCTAGTGCGCGCCGTCTCCCAGTCAGCCAAGTATGAAACGGTTTGCGGTTCCGACTTCTGCGATGAGGAGATGATGGTCCCAAACAGCACTGTGAGCGTGTTTTGTGAAGGATCAGTCAAAGATTATTCCTGAGGGAAAGAACGAATAAAGTGCGTAATGGTTGAAGTATGGTATGGTATGGTACTGTTGCAAAACAGGATATTTGCAGTTTTTCTCGTTTCTCTTATTTTATTTTTCATGACCTTCTGCTTTATATTATGGTACTCTATTTCGACCTCTTACATTCACATTTTACTGAATTCCTAATACTTCTTGTTCTGATAATAAACAATTTAATTTTCTGTTAATGTATTTCCTTCTAATTATTATTCTTCATAAGTGCATATTATCTGCATGTTCCACCAGATCGTGTAATCGCACTTCTCGAAAAACAGTTATTGTGCTTACTCACATTATGTTGAAGAAAACATATATTCTGAATTGTGACATGCCACTGACACCTACTTAGATTGAAGACTACTACCTAAGACATAGTAGCTCAAAACTTTAGGAGGTTCATATTACCTCCATAAAATATAACGATAGATATGAGAATGATCCGGCAACAGTGGCTGGCCTCTTTAACCAATACTTTTCGACACTTGCTGCCGTACTCACTAAGTGTCTTCGGCAACAAAATTCAACACCAGACTTTTCTTTTAAAATTTTAGACACGCTATCCGTTTCTGGAACTTCTTTCAATGAAATTTTCAAAATAATCAGTAGATAAAAAGAAATATTCGGCAGGTTTAGATGAATTTCCAGATTGTTTTCTAAATACTTGTGCGCTCGCCATTACACACCCGTTAACTCACATATTTAATGCACCCTTATGCACAGGAATTTAAACAGATATTTTTAAAGCAGCTAAGATTAAACCGCTTTTCAAAAAAGGCAACAAAAATGAAATTGAAAATTATTGTCCACTTTCTCTTTTGTGGGTTTTTCAAAAAATATTAGAGATACTTTTTTACTTACGAATGGAAAAATGTCTTAGTAAACACGACGCGTTTTCAGATTGCCAACACGGGTTTTGGAAATCAAAATCTACGCTAACAGCTATATTTTCTTTTCTTAAAAATGTCTCATCCACGGATCAAAACGAATTACCTATTGGAATATTTTTAGATCTTTCAATAACTTTTGACGTCATTGATCATAATAATTTATTTTCAAAATTACCTTCGTATGGAATTCATGGTATTGCTATAGATTGGTTAAGTTCATCCCTTAAACAAGAATCTCAGAGAGTAGAAATACCATACTGGAATAATGGAACATTATGTACACACCTTTCCGATTCTTTTCCAATTGCATGTGGACTCCCGCAGGGATTGATTTTAGTCTTCCTACTATATGTAAACGATACAGTTATCTTTGTTTTTATCAACTCTTTGTGGATGATACGAATATTCTTTGCAATAAAGAAATGGTAAATAGTACAATATCAGATTTTTCAAATTGGTTCCGTAATAATACATTAATAGTAAATGAAAAAAATACTGTTTCAATGCAGTTTTCCATGTCAAATAAAGAGCTGTGCACGCCATTGAAAATGAACGGGTTGCTATTGACTGATGTTAAAGTAACAAAATTTTTAGGTCTTTCAACTCAGTCAAACCTGAAATGGAACATCCATTTAAATGAATTAAACACTAAATTAAGTTCTTTATGTTACTCTTTCAGAATTCTTTCAAATTCAGTCAGCCATACTGATCGTTATGTACATTTCGCGAATGTTCATTCCGGCCTGAGATATGGAGTATTATTCTCGTGAAATACATCTTATTGCTTGCAGATTTTTAGGTTACAAAAAAAGAATTGTATGAATAATAAGCAAGTCTCTCCCACGTGATTCTTGTAAGAGTCTCTTTATGAATCTAGGTATTTTACGATTACCTTATCTCTTGATACATGAATCGTAGTTTTTTGTTAAAAATGACTTACTAAGAGGCGGGAATAGATTTTCAGCAAACGCTAACTACAACACTCGACGTAGTAATTATATTCATCAGGTGACAGTGTTAACAGCTCACTACAAAAAATTCACATACAATACATGTACATTATTTTACAACACCTTGGCAGATGATATTAAACGATTAAATTCGATACAAAAGTTTAAGTTCCAAGTAAAATATTTTCTGCTGCACAACTGTTTCTATACAATTAGATACTATACCGAGCATCCAAAAGAAATCTAATATTAATTTTAACAACGATATTTAGTGTATTACTTAGTATTTGGATTGAATAATATCAAGTATTGTACTTCAGCTTCTAGGTCAATGACCCTCATCTCGATCACATTTTCGTCCAGCTTCCCTGATCCTCGAGCAAATACTGAGATGGCCCCTTGCTTTGCTTCTGGACATAAATGTAAATTCAATTAACTTCTCCCCATAGCAGGTCGCACACAGTTTTTAACTGATTTATTTATTTGACGTAAATAAATAAATAAATAAATAAATAAATAAATAAATAAATAAATAAATAAATAAATAAATACATTACGTCTACTTCTTTCCATATTTAAGACTACTCAACACAGGTGTGAGTAGTTAAAAACAAGAGAGGTAACTACATTTCTACATTTATGCAATTCGCAGACAATATTTGAAATACATTTTTGGGGGGTTACACCGTATTCCGACTTAACAGATTTTTTTTTGTTTTTCGTACATTTTTAGACATATTTTGCAATTTTCAGCCGTTGGATTTTTGGCGCATTTTTAGAGCGAATTTTGGCGAGTTTCTATGGGAGATCAGGTCTAAATTGACCCCCATTTCAAGGCTAGTTTCGAAACTTTTTCCAAGTTAGTCTAATAAGTCTATCCGTTTGCTGGCATAATGTTAATATAAATCCATACGTTCGTTACATCATTTTTATCAGGAATATAACACATTTATGGAAATGAAATGTTTCGTTAGGTTAATGGGTCTTTTTCAAAATATTCATTGGGGCACGGCACCTTTGGCCGCATATCCACTCAATGATGCAGACTGCACAGTTTTCTTAGTAAAACGCATTTCAGCAATGATAAAATGACTTACCAAACAAAAGACTATATGTCACAACAAAAGTTAACCAGGAATTGGCCTGACTCATCAGACAGATGGAAAGGCAACAAAAAAGGCATCCAATCAGAGATACTAGTCGAAAACTATGTTGTCGTAGAATGGGAGCACATAGCAACCCTGAAATAAGAACTTGGGTAATATTATGACATCCAATTCAAATATAAATATTTAGCAAATCATTATCACGAAATTACCAAGAATTGAAGCTACCCCATTGTTGATGTGAATAAGAAAACTGATTGCAACCGTAGACATACCAAGAGCTTCAAATTTATGTTCATATATCAATCCAAAACACTGAACCACCGGTAATATCGATAACTGAAACAAAAATTCAATTAACACGACTATTTTCGAGATTTTTCAATCAAAACATAAAATCATTCAAATTAATGCCGTAATTTTACTTTTTCGTCCTCTTGCGTACTTATGTCATAAAGAGAAAATATGAAATGCTACGGCTTAAATAGGCAATTTATCGTCAGGAAAAACTCGTATTGTCGGGACCTGGTAACGAAAAGGGGATAAATCTTGCTCCTAGTAAATGATTTCCTCTAACGCGCTGTGTTGTAAGAATATACGTTTTGTGGGACCCATAATACAAAAGTAAAAAACAAAACAAAAAACAAACACAGCAACAAGCCAATTGTCGGCAAAACGTCCGTCTACTCGTCCGTCCACACTCCTCCACTACTCGTCCAGCAGTCCGCCAGTGGTCAACGCTAGCCCCTCACTAAGACATTCAGACAATCGTCTTTGAAGCATATTCTGCCACCCATCTGAATGAACTCCAACATCTGCGAGATTGAAATCGGTATTTTGGTTTTGGGTGGTATAGGTTTGCGCCTTAGAGCTAAGGATGTAGCCTCGTACCTTACACCGTATCATCCACGATGATCTACAGTTCCACTCTCTATAAGATTCAGGTAATGCAACAGTTCAAAAAATGATAAAGTTGTCCGGAGAACGTTTGCTATGGAGTTCCTTGGGCGTTTAACAACCGAATCGTAGATCTTCCACAACTGCCCAGCGCGGTCGCCAGATTTGACTACCCCTGATTTCTTCCTATGGGGAAATCTAAAGAGTCCAGCATAAACTACACGCCCTCAGACATTGGCAGATCTTAAGCGTCAGATATAAGAATCCTTGCCGGAAATCCCCTTGGACATGGTACATCGTGTGATGCAGCCTTTCGTTCGCCGCTTGTAGGAGTGTATACGCTGTAATGGTGGTCACTTTTAGGGTTTAATATTCAAGAAACAGTTACTATTAATCGTTATTATCAATAATGACTAAATGGCATACATTTACCTTTGTTCTCAATGTATTTTCAAATAAATGATTGTACAACTTACAATACAATTACATGCTGGTCTATTTAAATCCTACTATTATTTCTGCGCAACCCTATACTTTATATGTAACATCAACATTCAACAATTTTGAATGTCAACAATTGCTTTAAATTTTTTATTTAACTTTGTTCCCAATTAGTGGAAAAAATGCTTAAAAAACGGCTCAAGTCTAATTTTCGTTGAAACATCGGATATTTGAAAATTGCAGAGATTCAATTTTTTTCGGCGTCTTCCTACACCTACCATATTGAAGATCGAGATTTTTACTTTCCCACCCTTACGAATGTAAGAAGAGAAAGAATTGTAATCATGCGCCGGAAAACGGCGAATTTTCTATTTCATCATCTTAAAGGCCAAAAAGTGCCTTGTCGCTGCCACCATGTCATTCTGTCCCCCGGTGTTCTTTTCGTCTCTGCATAGTTTTAGAATTATAATTGATTGGAAGTTGTTTTAAAATTTTCATTCTAGGTCTCCCTCTTCCTCTTCTTCAACCTATTTTACAGCCCGAAATTGTGTTTAAGAATTGTTTATGTCAAAAAAATGTGTCCGAAGAATTTTTCTTTCCTGTTCCATATAATTTTTAATACGAATTTCTTATCTTTTCATCTTGTTTTATTTTCTATAGAAAAACTATAATTGTCAGGCCCAGAAAAAGAAAAAGTTGATGAATCCAACATAAAGTAAATTATGTCCTCTAATGCATCATACAGCCAAAATCAATGTTTTGTGAGTTCTTGGTACCGAAAAATCGATTGATGCCAAACCGTCTATGGTCTGCCCGTCTACGGTCAACGCTAGCTTCTAATCCAGTTAGCCTATTTTTTCCAAAATTAATGTTCTTCAATCTATCTGAACGAACTCGAGACTTTAGAAGTTGCAAACGAATATTTTGATGTTTAAGGGTACTTTACATGAAACCTCAAAATCATTTTCAAAATTTTGTGAAAAATTGTTCAGGACTTTTTGATTATTTTTTTGTATTCGGATAGCGTAAAGAAAGTTGAAGACAATGGTACAGGACTCATGTTCGTTGAAATTTCAGATTTTTCGGAAATGGCAAAAGTACAGTTTTTTTGTTTTTCTATAACTACAATATTTAAGATATAGATTTTTCTTTATGAAATATACTCTTTAAAGAAAGATATTGAAATGAGGTCATGATCAATTTTTCGAAAATATTAGAAGTTTTCGTGTAATTTTCCGTAAAATATCGTCAATTGTTAACTTATTAAACAAATTTTTCCTTTATATTTTCTCCTCAGTGTATCAAAAGACGGTAAAAATCGGTGCTACTCTCATTTCCGTGTTTCCAATTTTTTTATTGAAATTTTACCTCATACAAGATACAAATCGCCCACATTTTTTTTATTAAACTGCCTACAGTTTCTAAAATTGCAATAGTTTAAATTTTTCGGTGTCTTCCTTCGACTATAATTTGAATATAATAAATATAATTTTTTTTTTTAAATATGACAATTGTAACGTACTAGCCAGCGAGCCTCGTGGCAGCTATTTGGGGACGCGTGGTAAGGGATTAGTAACAGGAAATCGCCTCGCCACAGGAGGGAGAGGTGGGATTTTCCTAAAAGCCAGCACGCGGCAAAGGGAGACCCGAGGCTTTGGGGTCCTCTGGTTTTTAGGAACGGACACCCAAACCTCATGGCGAGCAGAAAGGCGTTGCGGGTGCGGCGTGACGTAGTAGATCACGTAAGCCTCGAGTACATAAAGGAGTGCAGAGAGCTAGTGGCTGGGTTCTGGAGACAGAACCTCGTGCAGTTGCACAAAATCTTGCGGTCACGACGGTGCAGCGACTCGCGGCCGATTCTCAATCGGGTAAGATCGCTGCTGCGATCGAGGCAAACCATCAGTTGGTGCGCCGGTACGGACATTGCGACCTAGTGTGACATCCGGGCACGGAAGCTTGTCTTTGTGCGCGCTTTAGATGTAGGAGTGGCGAGTGCCACAATTGAAACCGATCATCAATCGAGTTAGGATCGCTCCCGCGATTAGGGGATAGCAGGTCTATCAGAGCTAGGGTGTAAAGTGTAAATTCATTGTAAATATTTGTTGTGTTTTCCTTGTAAATAAATATTTGTTATGAGAAAACTCGTGTCTGTGTTCACTAGAGTATCCATGACGTCACAGCAATTTTTAATTTTATTAAATATTTTCTTCAAAAATGGTCTAAAATTTTTTCTTTAAAATTTCTCCTCATATGTATCATAGAACTATAAAAAATGGTGCTGCTAGTCTCATTTTCGGCGATCTCAATATTTTCGAAAATTTCACATTGTTAACATTTCAAAACTAGAAAATAGAGATAGTGATTTTTGCATAAAATAAAATCTATATTAAAGACTCAGCTCTGAAAAAAGGTCCTGTACATTTTTTTTAAAAAAACGAGTGTTTTTGAGTAATTTGGGCTTGGAATTTCATGTAATTTCCCTTGAGGGAACTCTTAAAATAATAGCACAAATATCATTATCGATGAACTTCTGAATTTTCGAAAATTGAAAATTTGGAAATAATGTGAGAACGTATGCACTGATGTAGCACTATTACTTTACTTTTTGGAATCCTGTCTCACATACATAAAATCATTGCTTGGTATTTGAGGGACGCCGATCCGAGAGGCTGATTTCTTGTCCCTGGAATTGGGTTGAGGTGGATGCTCAGACAGAGCGGTCTCACTTACAATGTCCACTCTTAGCAGCACCAGCACAGTTGCTTCGAGCCGTCGCGAAGTCCACATCGCGCTCAGCTCTGTTCCGGATAGTGAAGTGTCAGCCGTTAAGGCTCGTTTAAGTTATTCAAAGCGTATAACGTACTTTCAGCAACTGGAGTGTCAATTATTAGTACTGCCAATTACAGCACTAAATTCATAAACCATCGAAAGTGATTTAGTATCCAGCAACCCTGGTCTAGGGAAAAGCGTAGCCGGAGTCATGGCTGCTCTGTATAATACAGCTGCGCCATGGACACCTCATTCATCACGACACCGCCATCCCAATGTGAAAATCAAAGCGGTGCTACAGAACAAGACAACATTGGTCTTCAATATGCTATTCTCAATAAACATCCGCCGCACGCGGGAGTCCAAGAAATTCCAATTCCAGAAATTCAGGAACTAACGACAAGCGGCGCTACTAAGGTCAGTGCTCAGCAAAAACTGCCAGAGATGCTACCCAACGTGTAACAAAAACAGTAAGTGAAAACAAATAAACCGCGGACAGTTCAGAATATAGTTCTCGCCTGAACACGTTAGAGAGCGGACGTGCATTGAGCGCTCTCTTTCACGGGCGACTTCAGTGAGATAAGGTTAGCAGAGTACAAAATCAGAGTTCAGTGTTCAGTAATAGTGACTATGTTTTCAAGTGGCTCCCCTGATGCAGGGCAGCACATCGCTAGAGCAGTGGAAGCACTAAATCATCACAGTGAATTCAGTAATATTAATTCAACACCAATAAACGGTCAAGCTACAAGTGGCCCGGGTCAAAACAGTGATCAAGTTAACTTACAAATGCAACGAGATGTGTAGCAAAAATTAGAGCAACATCAATATTTAATGAATCAGGATCCACAATTGATACAAATAAATCAACAACAACTACTTATGAGAGATCAAACAGACTTCTATACAGCACATCACCAGGGCCAGCCCTGGAAACTTCATGGAACGCAGCCATAGCAATGGACTCAACAACTACAAGGTCCGGGGTCGTCTGAAACAACCTCAAATAAAACCGTGAGTACCCTAGAGTGGCATCAACCTCGAAAAGAAAAAAAATACGCCTATAGTGACCAGTTCATGCCAACTCCCTCGAGTGTTAGTGCGCCTGTGTCTACGCATAAAAATCAATATGCAGCAATAGAAGACAAATCAGAAGTTGAAACTCCTAAAAAGCCCCCCATAGATCATAACATTCCAATATTTGTACAAAGTGTTACTAATGTATAAAAATTAATAGAATTTCTTAAGCTACAAGTAAAAGACGACGATTTTACGTAAAAAATGTACAGCTACCAAAAACCATTGAAGCTTACAGAGCAATATTTAAGCAATTGGACGAATCCGAGGCCAAATACCACACTTATCAACCAAAGAAGGACAGAGCATTTCGTGTAGTGTTTCGATACCTGCATCCGTCAGCATAGAAGAAAAAAAGCTGAACTTAAATCCAAGAGTGACACTGTTCGTAACATGCACGATGTACTTTATCGACTAAGCAAAAAGCTTATATATTTAGAACCAAGTGCAAACAATGCAGAAATCTACAATATCGACACACTTGTACATGCAAAGATAGAATTTGAAGCACTGTACAAAAAGAAAACGCCAGTACAATGCCTCCCAAGAGTATGGTCACACGAAGAAATACTGTAAAGCAACTCCAAGGTGCGTGAAATGCGGTGAAGAACACTTCACAGACGAATGCAAAAAAGATGCAACGCAGCCGGCAACATGCACGCTTTGTTCACGAAGTCATCCAGCCAACAATAAACGCTGCCAAGTGTATGAAGATTACGTTAATAAATGTAGCTAGCCAGAAAAGAAACAGACACCATCGCCAAGGAGAAACAAAAAGTGGCAAACACCTCATATTTCCCTCCCTCCCAGTTCGCCACTTTCAACCCAATCCCTTCTCGCGTACAGAATCTTCTCAAAACGCAACATACGCTGTACCCCACAATCAAAACCAAACAGACCTCTACAAAATAATACAAACCTCATTCCAAAAGTTCGAAAGCATCTTTAAACAACAATCTTAACAAATTGGGACTATGCTCAGCCTACTGACGTCATTAATATCCAAGAATCATTAAATGGCACCAACAATTAAAATTAATCTCTGGAACGCAAACGGTTCACTCCAACATGGAAGAGAGCTCGTTATTATTATATTATTCGCAAAGAAAAATATATAGATATTATGATAATCTCCGAAACTCACTTCACAGAAAAATGCTACTTAAAGATACCAGGATATGATATATATAATACCAAGCACCCGGACGGTACAGCGCATGGAGGAACTGCTATAATAATTCAAAACACAATCAAACATTACGATATGAACGAATATAAAACTGAATAAATACAAGCAACATATGTAATGGTTACAGAAGGTCAATCTTTACTGACGCTAACATCTGTATACTGCCCGCCCAAAATAGAATAACAGAACAATAATTTCAAGACTTTATAAATACATTAGGATCAAAATTCATAACTGGAGGCGATTTCAATGCGAAAAACCAGCATTGAGACTCACGACTCAACACATTACGAGGGAAAAACCTTCTTAAAGTAACAAACAAACTAAACGTTTCTACTATATCGACTGGTGAACCTAAGTACTGGCCCACCGACGTCAACAAACCTCCTAACCTCCTGGATTTCTACTTAGCAAAAGGTGAGAATCTTAATACAGTAGAAGTAAAATTTTGTTACGACCTTTCTTCGGAACCTCCACACCTCCAAGAACTCTTCCACACCTCAGAAGAAATGACCATCTGGTCAAATATATCTGAAAGAAACTATCCTCTAAAACTAACAAGTAATAAGACAAACTGGGACAAGTACCGCGATTACGTGAACAAGTAACTATCTGAAAATTCACTGATAAAAACAGGAGAAAACATCGAAGACGCAATACAGCACCTATCTGGCACATTACAAGACTCTGCCTGGGCCGCAACACCAAGAGAAACAATAAATAAATCGTCAACGTATCCCGCAGAAATAAGATAAAAAGTGGTAGAAAACGTCGACTCCGACGAATATTCATGACGACACGTCAACCAGATAACAAAAGAAAATATAACACAGCAGCCAGACAATTAACACGTCAAATTAAGGAATACGAAAATAAATCATTCTCTAATTACATTCAAGCACTATCACCCATTGCTGAAACTAATTACGAATATTCGCTTTGGAAAGCAACAAGAAAACTGAAGCGACCTCAACAGCACATCGCACCAATTCGAAAAGAAGATGGCACGTGGGCAAGAAGCGCAGAAGAAAAGGTCGAATGCTTAGCAAAACACTTTGCATCCGTTTTCAAATCAGCAGGAAATGCAAGTGCTATTGAAAATAAAGTGCTAGAGTTTTTGCACGTACCTTTACAGCTATCACTGCCCATAAAGCATTTCAACTCACGAGAAGTTGAACAAATAATTAAAAAACACACTCATCCTACGAAAAGTCCAGGGTGTGATCTTATTACTGGCAAGATTCTACAGGAAATGCCAAGAAAAGGATATGCATTCGTAACAAGTATATTCAATGCGATACTTCGAAGTATTCATTATCCTTGTCAATGGAAATACGCCCAATTAATTGCGCTCTTGAAACCAGGAAACACTGCCACGGAAGTGACATCGTATCGACCGATTCTGCGCTTCTTGTCCAAGTGAAATACCACAACGCTCACAATCAGCCAACTATCAGAATCCCAACCTATTTCTGCAGGAGTGTCACAAGGAAGTATTCTTGGACCTTATATCATCTTAAGACTTACCAAATACAGAAAGAACTACAATAGCCACCTTTGCAGACGACACAGCTATTCTCTCTGAAAATAAAGATCCTTCCTGCGCATCACAACATCTTCAAGAACATCTAAACAAAATCGAAGATTGGAGCCATTGTTGGCGAGTCACAGTTAATGAAACAAAATCAAAACATATAACATTTTCACTAAGAAAAGAAAACTGCCCAAAAGTAAAATAAAACAACACAGAACTCCATGAAGCTGATACAATCAAATACCTTGGACTGCATTTGGATAGACACCTGACCTGGAAAACCCACATCAAAACTAAGAGAAAAGAAGCGCAGCTTAAAGTCCTCAAATTGCCATGGCTAATAAACAGGCAATCAAAGCAGTCCTTGCAGAACATAGTACAGATTTAGAAAACTATAATCAAACAAACATGGACGTATGGTATTGAATTGTGGGGCTCTTCCAGTACATCGAATCTAGAAATGCCAAAAAGATTCGAAGCTAAAACATTAAGAAAACTGTGCAACGCATCATGGTACGTGACAAACAACGATATACAGAGACCTCGACATCATCCCGCTAGAAGAAATTATCACCCCCAAGCTTACCAGAAGAGATTGTACGAGTATCCAAATTACCTCTCAACAAACCTGCTAGACAACAGTGAACATGTATATAGATTGAAACGAGAGAATATTTTAGATTTGCCATACCGATTTCTTAAATGAAATTTTCAATGTCACAAAAAATCACCTCAGAAATGCATTCATAGACACCATTTATTTATTGTTCTAACAAGAACAGATTGTACGTTATGCAGAAGTAAATAAAAAAGTTCAGAATATGGGGCTAATAGAACATTTAATGACTGATGAAAATGAAAATCCCCCTTAAAAATCAACAGTGCTAATAGTGTATATTCAGTGCCAATTGGTAATAGATATCCTCCCTTAGAAAATAAAAAAGACCCTGATTGCAGGTTTAATTATATAAACATCATCCCAAGCCAAGATGAAAATGTCAAGATTCCTCCAATTTATGTGAATAACATAACAAAATTATCAGAATTTAATAGAGAAATAAAAAAAAATCACCATAAAAAAACATCAATTCACCTCCAATATAATGAATAACCGAATAAAGTTAATGTTCAAAACAATAACCAACTGAAGAAAAACAAATCTATTCAATACTAAAAGAAATTTTCACACCTTCAAAGAACTGCTAATAAAATATTCTCCAT